ACATTGCTTGCCTGAGGTTTAAAGTCATTTAGGCTCAGAGGCAGAGGAGAGGACAATTAGAGCTTGTAAGGAATAAAAGCCATCCTGGCCCCTAAAGGCCATGGAGTCCTGATACTCGATGCCACCGCTTTCAAGCTTTTAGCCTATAATCAGCCTATATTGAAACCAGATTTACCAGTGCTTGAGGAAAGCTTTGTGATTGTCTAAAGCAGACATGTTTGGCATTTTAGAAGGGCAAACCCCCTATGGTGTAGTGTTTTTAATAAAATCAGTTCAACAGAAATTAGAGACTTACCAGTCAATTTCTAGGAAGCCTCTAGCCATTCAAAATAATGGGAGGGCCACATGCAAAATAACATAAAAAACTTAACCAGGCGTACATCTTTTTTTTTTCCTCAAAAGGGATGAACTGATAGGGATACATCTTGGAACTTATAGTCCCATATCTCTGGTTTGAGCAAATTTTCACTTAAAAAACAAATACTGTGTTTGAGGGAAGTTCTATGTCAGTATCAGACATAGCTGACCAATATCAATGTCAATATCAGACCAGCTGCATCTGGTTAGCTAGGCCTTGAATAGACAGCTCAAAAATATAATAATAAAGACACCTCTTCCAAAGAGCAAAACAAACGAACAGTCATCACCCAATCAGGCATGTCGTTCTGTCTCCTGGCACACTGCTTCTATGCTCTCCTGGGTAAGCAAAAGTCAAGTCTTAGTCAAAAGCAGTTCTGCGTAGAAAATTCAGAGTTGAGAACCAGGCTCATGCCTGTAATCTTGCCTACTCAGGAGGTTGAGACCTGAGGACGACAGTTCAAAGCCAGCCTGGAAAGGAAAAGTGTGAGAGATTCCTCAGTGAACCACAAAATGCCAGAAGTGGAGCTGTGACTCAAATGGTAAAGGGCTGGCCTTGGGCACAAAAGCTCAGGGACAGTGGACAGGCCCTGAGTTCAAGCCGCAGTACAAGAACAAAAAACAAACAAAACAAACAAAAAGGGGCCATGTTGTATGTAAATTTGTCTGGGGTGAAGACAATGTGACTATTCAAATAATGAGACATATCCACAGGATGAGTATTCACTTAGGAAAAAAGAGTGGTTGGTCTACAAGGGTGGTTTGAATGTCTCAGAGAGATACAGGCTAAGAGCCTGGGTCACACAGAAGCAAGAACAAGAGCCATACCACAGCACAATTCCGTAGAGACACTCCCCATTCATCTTCGCACCAGCCTGGATTCAAGGCTTCCTCGCGTGGGGCTTCTGATTTTAACGTGTTTTAACTGAGCATACTGCTTTAAATCCTTTCTTTCCTAAGAAATGGCTAATTTCCTAGTTAACCAGTACTTGTAAGAAATGAGGTGAACAGGGGAATAGCAGAGGAGGAAAAAAGATGACAACATGTAGCTAACAGGTAGGATGTCTCCTCAAAGTGGTTGGCTTTACTAGGGGGTGGTAGAGCAAGCGTATAATCCCAGCATTCCAGAAGCAGAGTTAAGAGCTAGCCTGGGGTACATGGCTAGCTTTTTGTCTCAACCATCTTCTTCCTCTCTTCGCCCCTTAAAAATCACTAGCCTTACAAAACAGTTTTGTACCGTATGTTATTAAATAGTCTCAGTATTCAGGCAACAAAATGATTCCCATCTGATCAAAATAAAGCAAGTGATGGTCAGACTTCATCCTTCATCAACTGTGCCAGTCCTCAGGCTTGAACTGAGGGCCTGGGTGCTGACCCTGAGCTGTTGTGCTCAAGGCTAGAACTCCATCATTTGATTCACAGGTTCACTTGGAGCTTTTTGGGGTCCATAATTGGAGACAAGAGTCTCACACTTTCCTGCCTGGGTTGGCTCTGAACCATAATCATCTCAATTCCGAGTAGCCTGGCTACCAACTGCCAAATTCGATCAGTTATTTTCTCTAGCCAGGTTTCATTGATCAAATTTAACAAGTCTTTGACCCTCTCCCACCCAACCCCCCCCCCCCAAACATCAACAAACATTTGGAGGCTGGGGAATGCAACTGTGTGGTACAGCAAATGCTTAGTGTGGTCAAGGCCCTGAGTTTGGTTCCCAGAACAAAACACATTGATGTATATAAAAATAAGATAAGCATATAAAGAGCTGTCAGTCTCAAAAGTGCAACAAATATGCTATCATTGCATTGTGTATTCCACAGCATACTGTGTAACTTTCAGCAATCTAGGGGTTGGAGCCGGTTGCAAAGGCTTAAATGGCAGAACACTTGCTTAAGCCCTGGATTCAATCTCCAGGACTGTGAGAAAACAAAACAAAAGGAAAAGAAAACCTAAATACTCAGTCTTTTTGAAACAGATGAACTTGTCGATCTACAAAGTGGTCTTCTTCACTTATTATTTATCATAAAATATTCTAGTAAAAGAATTCTAGGGGCTCAGTGGTAGAGAACTTGCCTTGCATGCATGAGGCCCTGGGTTCGATTCCTCAGTACCACAAAAGCAAAAAGAAAAAAGCCAGAAGTGGTGGTGTGGCTCAAGTAGTAGAGTGCTAGCCTTGAGCTGAAGACCTGAGGGACAGCGCCCAGGCCCAGAGTTCAGGCCCCACGACCAACAAAATAAAGAAAAAAAGAATTCCAAAACCTGTTTTTCAACACTAATACAGATATGCAGGCTATAGGTTTTCAAGCAAAAAAAAAAAAATTCAAATATGAAAGAGAAGTGAGAAAAAAAAAAAGAAGCTATCCAGGGGTTAGAGATTTAGCTCAGCAGAAGAACACTTGCCTGGTAAGTACAAGGCTGTGTTTGATCCTCAGCTCTGTTAAAAACAAAATAAAATAAAACAAAATAAACACTATCCACAGCAAATTATTCCTAAATAACTAATTCACTCACATTTAAAATTACGATGATTCTTTAGGGGAAAATTCACAACTGTGGTACAGTTTTAAACTTACAGCCTTATAGGTAGGCAAGAATGTTACTTGCACAGCTAAAGTCCACACTCTTTTGGTTTTATTAATAGATTATTTTAGCTGGGCATTTTGGCTCAAGCCTGTAATCCTAGCTACTGAGCAGGTGGAAAAGGAAGCTACTAAAATGGAAGAACACAGTTCACGGCCAGGAGGTGTAGGAAAGAAAACTCCATCTCAACAAATGGCTGGGTGAAGGGGTGTGTGGGGTGCCTGTTATTCCCAGCGATACTAGGAAACACAAGCCCTACTCCTGCCCAAGCATAATGATCCTACCTTGAAAATAACCAAAAAAATCAGTGGCTCAAGACATAAAGAGAACTGGCCTTGCAAACAGCAGGCCTTGCACTCAATTCCCAGTACAAATAAATAAATCGGACCATTTTGAGAAAGGAATCTAGTAGCACTGGTTATTTAAAAAGTCTAGTGTTACACGATGTTCACTACTGAAAATCTTTTCAGGATTGAAATTTTGAAAGAGCTGTAAATTTGAAAACTAGCAACAACGTATTATATAGTTTGGCTAACTTGGGAGACAGTATACTTCATTTGTTTCAAAACAGAAAAAAAAAAAGACACAGGCTTACAATAGCCACTGATTTGTTTAGTTAATAGGTACTGCAGAGCAATGGAGTTAAGCTGATAAGTAGTCTTGATATTATTCTATAAACATTATCTGTGATATAACCACTTCAATCATATAGGACCTGGTACAAGTTAAATTCTTCCAGGGCTGGGGATATAGTCCAATGACTAGCACTTAGCATGTACAAGGCTCTGGGCTCAATACTCTGCACAAAATAGAGAGGAAAAAAAGATCTAGGCATCAGAGGCTCACGATTTGAATCCCACTACCGGGAGGCTGTGATCTGAGGATTATGGCTCAAAGCTAGCCTGGGTAAGAAAGTCCTGAGATTCTTATGTCCGATTAACTATCAAAAAAGCCAGACATGGTGCTATGGCTCAAAGTGGTAGAGCATTAGCCTTGAGTACAAAAGCCCAGGAAGAGTGTCAAGCCCCAGAACTGGCACAAGAAAAAAAAAGTTTGTAGATGAAAGCTAAAAAATCAGAATTATCCTCCCAAATGGCATTGTGTAATGATTATCTCAGACTCAGAAATTCTATAAAAAAGTTACACATATGTGCAGGGTGCTGGTGGCTTGTACCTGTAATTGTTAACTATTCAGGAGATTGAGATCTGAAGATCACGGTTCAAAGCCAGATCAGGCAGAAAAGTCCATAAGGCTCTTATCTCCAATAAATTATTCTGAAAAAGCTACAATGATGCTGTGTCTCAACTGGTAAAGTCCTAGCTCAGAGACAGTGCCTAGGCCTTGGGTTCAAACTCTAGGACTAGCACCATGGTGGGCAAAAAAAAGTTACACATTTGTGAGAAAATAAACAAGAACTCACTCTCACTCATAAAAATCAAAACCAATCCAAGCAGTGTGGGCTTATGCCTATAGTCCTAGCTACTATATAAGTTGAGCCTGGAAAGATAGCAGATTTGAAGATAGCCTAGGTTTAAAAAAAGGTCCATGAAATCCTTTATCAACCAATGAAAAGCTGGGAGTGGTAGGAAGAGCCCGCCCTCCCAGCTCTGTGGGAAGCAAGATTCTATTTGAGTAATAACAGGGGCTGAGGACAGGATTAAAGAGGTAGAGTGCCTGCCTGCTCAGCAAGTGAGAAACCCTGAGTTCCAATCCTAGGACCACCAAAAAGAAACAAATAAGTAACCAAAAACCAATCAAACCCAAACCCTAGAGCTAAGCAGTATTGGCAACAACTGAGCTTGAATTCCATTTACATTGTTAGTTAATGTGTGCTCTTGTACATTTTCATTTACTTTCTTGTTTGGGTTTTAATTCCAAACTAAGGGCCTCCCTCATGTTATTAGGCAAATGCTCCACCACTGAACTGTGCACCCCTCTTGTTCTCCCAGAGGCTTCCCCCACCCCCATTTCAGTTTTTAATTTAGGAAAGACACCACTAAATTTCAGGTGAAAGAAAAAAAATATATTTTAAAATCTTTACAATAATAAATCAAGATGTAGGAGCTTCCACAGAGTACATTGAGTTTATTTAGGTACTCGATTCCAGCTCCTTTGGACGTACATAACCCTGGCAAGTGTGTACATAGTCTTCTCTGCCTTTTTTAATAATGTTAAAGCAAATAATACATCTGACTGTATTCAAGTCTGTGCAAATAATCCTTCAGAAGAAATATCCAAGATGCTGTTTGCAGAGGTCATTTTGTCTCACAAGATGATTCATTCCATGAGTTTGTTTGACTTCAAATAAAGTGCTCCTGTCCAGCAGAACTCAAAAGACCTTCAAGAAAGAAGTTCAGTACAGGTTAAGACTCCCGTCATACGAATTCCAGCTTGCCGTGACCACTGTACATGCCCCAGTGAACCAAGGAAAGGATCTTATCCTGACTGAGCTCTGCTTGTCTCATTTTGTCACAGGTCAGACAGCAATTTTCCTGTCCACTGACAGGCACCATGCACTCCAAGTCTAACTTTGCAACCTGTCCCTTTTTGGAATGGTGTCCATGGAAGCTGTAGTGCAAACGGGAGAGCATCTGTTGCCGCTGGTCCTGTAGCCTCTTGTTCTCGCTTCGGAGCATTCTCAGGGCCAGCATGATGAGCAACACTAAAATCAGCCCGCCAGCAATAGGAACTGCGATCACTGCCGCCCGGAACCACAGTTCTTTAGAGGAAGTTAGTTCCTGCACTTTGGTGATCAGGTTTCTGCTGCGATCATGCTGATATCTGTTTCCTTGTCCTAAAAGAGCACAAAGAAAATGATCAATCCTTGGGGTGCCTTCACCTTGGTGGACACAGTCCTAATCGACCATCCATTTTTTTTATTTGCTGGTCCTGGTGCTTAAACTCGGCCTGGACACTGTCCCCGAGCTTCTTTTGCTAAACGTGAGCCCTCTACCACTTGAGCACCACTTTTGGGGGTTTTTTAAGTAGTTTGTTGTAGACTACAGTCTCACAGTTTCCTGCCTGGGATGGCTTTGAACTGCAATCCTCAGATCTCTGCCTCCTGAGCTACTGGAGTTCGCTCAATTTTTAAAGAAGAATTTTTCATTTGGTCAGTTGTGCAGCTTGAACTCAGGGCCTGGGCACTGTCCCTGGGACTCTTTGTGCTCAAGGCTAATACTCTAACTTTTGAACCACAGTGCCACTTCATGTTTGAGTGGTTAATTGGAGATCAGAGCCTCACAGGGACTTTTCTGCCTGGGCTGGTTTTGAATGGAGATCCTCACATCTCAGCCTCCTGAGTAGCTAAGATTACAGGCATTAGCCACCAGCACTCAGATTAAGAAGGAATTTCTTCAAGGTGAGCAACAGTGGCTTATACCTTTAATCCTAGCTACTCCAGAGGCTGAGATCTGAGGATCCCAGTTCAAAGCAAAGGAAGGCAGATACATCTGGGAGACTCTATTCTCCAATTAACCAGCTATAAACCAAAAGTAGAGCTGTGGCTCAAGTGGTAAAAGTGCCAGCCCTGATTGGAAAACGCTAAGCAAGAACACAGGTTCTGCGCTCAAGCCCTAATATCAGCACAAAACAAGAAAAAAATAAACACTTGTTTTTTCTAAAAAAAGCTCCCTGCAATTGAATCAACAATATTGGGAAAATAAAGATAGCTGTAAAACTACCCAAAGAAGCTTACAAACATGCTTATTTAGAAGCTGTCATTACTAAGACTTAATGGTTATTTTAATGTATTCAAAATGTTGAAATAACAGGCAAAACCTATTATGTAGACAGACATCTAATGCTTAGGCAGACATAAAAGCCACTCAATAGAGATGCATCTTTGCAGCCAGCTATCCTTCTCCCTCTGCTGTCTCTAATTACATTAACAACAAAATCAATAGCAGACACACAAAGTCGTGGCTGTCACAGGTCTATCAGGCAGGCCAGGCAGGGAGGGAGTGGTGTTTAAGAACAGCTTTCCACCTACCTGAGGCTTCGCCTTTGGGAGGAGAAAGAACATCATGTAGGCCTCTGTAATTGCACATGTCTTCGTGACAACATTCCAACGTGGGCATGGTGCTGCCCGAGTGGTTTTGGGCCAGTTTGGCTTGGCAGATGTCTGTTGTGCTTGTAAGGGAGTCCAGGCAGCCGTGGGTGAGTGGGGAGTTTGTGTTCTGGGGATCAAGAAGTCTAGAGAAGCAGGCACTGAGTTCAGATTTACACATGTAACCAGTGGCCACGCAGTGGGCAGCATCACAGTAGCATCGTATTTCTCCTGAAAAAAACAAGAGGCACCACAATCAGATGACCAGATAGAAATCACTAAATCCCCCAATTCAAAGACACTTAATTCTGGACGAATCCAGCTGAAGGCTAAGACTGGAAATGCCCTGAAAACAATCAGTGCTTAAATTGCAGTGATTTTTAAATACAATTCTAGGAATGTATGAATTCCAACAGCACACTGCTGATGAAGGAAGACTAATTAAAAATACTTCGGGTTTTAGAAGGAAAGCGAGCCATCACTGTCATTTCTCCTACCAGAAGGTAAATCATGTATTTATTCATTTTAATCATTTAATCCTGCATAACCATACAACATAAAACTGCTAGGCTTTGGGGTTTCGTCAGTATAAATATTTGATCGGAACTACTGAATTGTTTACTATCCCGAAGGACTGAGCCAAGATTTAAGAGCTTGAACTAACACCTTATAAAGTTATTAACTAGAAACACAACAATCTAGAAATTGCTCAGGTCAGGGGTTTTAAAACTATGAAACTGGGCAGCTATTTGCAACCTCTCGAGAAAAGGCAAACTTTGCCTATAAAGATCTTTTCATGCCGAGGAGCTTTTAGTCAGTATATTGTAAAACAGGAACTGGGCAGTTTACAATTAGTGGTTGGCTTGCCAAAGTCAATTTCTTTCAGCCCAAATGGAAAGTCATAAAAAGGGGGGGGGGCGTGGAGAATGTAAAACTGCCAGGCTAACTCCTCCTCCTCCTCAGTTTTACATGTAATTTAACATGTGATCTAAAAGGGGGAACCGCTGAAACTGAAAATCCTCTGCTGGTTGAATGAAACCTCAAATTTTTCTACAGGAAGCAATTAAAAAAAGTTTCCTTCATAAAACTGATTTGGTAAAAGTTACAAAGGCTCTGTTAACATCAGCACAATTCGAGATTTCAGGCTTGGATGTTGAATAAATACTTCTGGATTTGAAAGCAATCACAATCCCCCTCACTAGGACCTTCAGACTGGGGGAGGGGGACCTCTGGTCACTGTCACCCAGCTCCGGCTCCTGCACACCTTGTCCCAGTTCCCCCTACCTGAGGATCTGTCACGAGTCACTGACACCTTCCCTGTGAAATTAAACTCCAAGGGGAATGTGGCTCTCTGGTTCATCCCCAGGTTCACTCTTCTTCCTCTCTGGTGAATGCCTGAGTAAGGTGTCTCATTTAATTATCTATCCAAATTCCAGGCTATCACATAGTGGGCTCAGTTTTCACCCAGGCTGCCAAGGCTTCAGCTCAAGGAGAAGCCAGCCAACTCAGAGATCTCAGGCAACCTCCAAACAGTCCAAAGGTGGAAACTGCTCCTGCATCTGTGCTGCCACAGGGTCTCTTCCCTAGTTGCCTGGGTTTCCAGAACTTTGCCCTGCAGGGTGTTCTGCGCGATGTTTTCTCTGCCTCCTTCCAAGCTCAATTTATTCTTTGTGCAAGGCAAAGATTTTGCATTCATCTGAGCTGATGATGCCTACAGGTCCCTAACCGGATAAATTCCATATACAGGTTTAAAGAAGAAATACAACAGATGAAAAGCCCATTTTCAGACCATTTGCCTCAGACTTGGTATAGAATGGGAAAAGGGACCACAAAAAGACTGTTGATTCAATGTTTATGAGAGCCTATTTAAAATACAACATTTTTTTCAATGACCGAAAACAGTCTACTAAAATGTTGACAGTTAGCTGGGAAAGTTCTAAGCCTTATAAAAAAAAAGAAAAAGAAAAAAGAAAACTAGGGCCGCTATTTTTTCGGCAAGGAGAATGGACTTTTGTCTGACTGTATTCAAACTGTATTTCTGTCGTTTCATAAAGTTTCTTCCTGTGGCATGCAAAAGGCCAGAAGGGGACTGGTATTTTGAAACAGGGAACAATGCTCTTCTGTTTGTTCCCTTTCTAGTTACTGTACATAGTGATTAAACAAAAATGTCTGCTTCAGTCAAGGTGGCTACAGAAAAGACTGCTGGCTTCTTTAGCTTTTGAAGTCTGCAGCAGGCAGAAATCCCTGATCCCTAATTATACCATTATCAGGCACATAGTTTCGGTATCTGTGACTTCATGTCAGCCTCAGTCCCTCCCAGCTCTGCCCGCCTTTGATAGGGCCAGGAGGCTCCCCTCTTACGGGCTGCAAGGGCTGTTATTTAGGGTTAATTACACCCTGCCTTCCAAAATAAATAAATACTGTAGCACCTCATCCTTGCTCGGTTAGCTTATCCTTTAACCTCATGCCTGCGACATGGCAATCAGAGAAAAGTATGGGGTGCAAAGGCTAAATAATGTTTCCTACTTAAGCCTGGGGTCTAGAAGGCAGAGGCGTTTCCAAGACGAACCCGGCAAGGCAACGGACCCGCGTGGGTTTTTTCCTTTCTTTTGCAGGATGGTTTGTCAAGTAAGCGTGGAAAATGGACCGCTAACAGCACCCACTTCTCCGACCCACTGAAGAGCCACATAACACACTCCCGTAACATACACACACTCAGAAACCATCGAAGATTGCACACGTTCAGATAGACGTTTGCATCCAGACAGCTCCACGCAGACACCCACATACACCTCCCCAGGGCAAACTTCGGACACTCAGAAGCCGGAGACCCACGTTAGAGTCGGTCGCAAACACACAAAGGCACCCGCCACATGCAGGCGCAGACACCCGGGCGCGGGGCGGTCCGGGCCGGGCTCCGCGTCTCCTGCTTGACATCGCGCCCCGGGAGAGGAGATGGACGGCGCCGGACCGTCCCCCCGCCGGGCTCCGCCGCGGGCTCGCCAACTT